CCTGAAAGAAGATGTACTGCAAGATCTTCCACCTAAGATCATTCAAGATTACTATTGTGAACTGAGTCCGCTACAGGTCAGTCTGTTGCTATGGCCAACAATGAAAGTGCGCACTGGGGCGTTGTATAATAGTTTTCGACAATACTTGATAGTTGTCGACAGGATATGAATATTCAAGCAGCTGTGCGAAAGTTTCAAGGATCTCCACCTTGTATTTAGTGGTATTTTTTTTTTGGAGAATTTCCGAAAATTGCCCTTCAGATCGTTCCTCTCACTCAAGAAAAAATTTTTTTCGTTTTACAGGTTCAGTTATATGAAGACTTCGCCAAGTCTCAGGTCAAGAAAGGTTTGGAGGAAACAGTTTCTCACATCGATGAAGAAAACAAAAACGAGAAAGCAAGCAAAGATAATCCTCACGTTTTCCAGGTTAGTATTGATTTCATTCTTACTGCCATACAACGTTTATTTTACTCGTTTAATTGAGAATTTGATCATGGACACTAGTCTGTCCTCAGTGCTTACCACAAATAACCTTATGCAGTATGAATATTCATTCAATCTGACATGTAAATAATTCCCAGGCTCTTCAGTACCTGCGCAAGCTATGCAACCACCCGCTTTTGGTGCTCACTACCAATCATCCAGAATACACCAAAGTTATGGACCAATTACATCAACAACATGTCTCCATCCGGGATATTCAGCATGCCGCCAAACTTGTTGCTCTCAAGTAAGTCAGGTTATTTGTTAGTGTAACTTCAAGGCATTGTGCGGTTACCATAACAATTATATTTTAACGGATTGCTTACGGATAGACTTTGAACTTTTGCAAGCACTCTTTTTAGACTGGCACGCCTAGAGTACCATTGATTTCTGAGTTTCTTAAAAGTGGCGGTTTCTTACTTGAATGAAATTCATAAAATCCCTCACCTAATGTAAGGTCTTCTCTGTTTTCATCCTTTCCTTGTAACCAGTTCATAAAAACTACTGCGCATTCTGTCACCCTGATAGCAGCATACTTTGCTTAGAGGTGAAAAATGAAGTCATTTTTTCCTATCAAGAATATTCCCTCGTCATAACATATGTTGGCGTTTAGGCGTTTGATGTTCGCCTCAGGTTACTATAGTTGAACTAATTCTCTCTTTCTGTCTACAAATTGATCAACAGGCAGCTACTGATGGATTGTGGGATAGGAGTTAGCTCCTCATCCTCAGGCTCCAGTGATCTGTCTTCAGACCCTGTAGTGTCCCAACACCGGGTGCTGTTGTTCTGTCAGTTAAAGAGCATGTTAGACATCGTTGAAAATGATCTTCTTAAGTAAGAGCAATCTTTTTGTTTTTTGTTTAAATTGTTTTTTTTCGCCATGCTGATTGATATTGCTGCATTCGTCTTTGGTTTGTCCATTTGACAATTAACCAGAACAAGACTCTATGTGTACTTGTTCGTGGGTAGTACCTCGCCGCTACGTCTCATGTTGTCGCTGTGGTGATCGAACACGTTTAAAACAGTTTATATTTGTACGACGTGTTGCAAGGACAAAGTATCATTTTATCAAACCTTCTTCATTTAATACGAAGTGAATTGTCGGAGTGGCTGGTAAACCTTCTCATTAATATTCAGCCTTTGGGGGTGGAAAGATGTAAAGGTTTGAAACTTAGCCTGCTTCTTATATTCAGTTTGCTTTATTCACATAGAAAACATATGCCTACAGTGACATACCTCAGACTAGATGGAAGTACGCCTGCG